TCCTTCTCCACTGCCTTGCCTAGGGCCATCTGGTCAACCATTGCCCTTTGGGGGACAGGGCCAGGGCAGCTCCCTGTAGCCCTTATCACTGAGGAATTCAGGCAGACTTTGGACTTCCTCTTCCACTTATTTCCCTATTCTAAACATCCTCATTATCCCTCTGGACTCCAGACACACGAAGTTGGAAAATTCCCAGCCGGATACAGGCAAGCCTACTGATCCATGGGAGGGTTCCAGGGTAGGATACAGTTGGGTGTGGACTTCACAGAGAATGGGTAGTCGAGGTGGGTGGACCTTTGAGAATGCGTAAGAGTTGGATAATTAGAGGTGGAGTAAGAGCATCCCAGAAGGTAGGAGCAGTGTGTATAGAAGCACGGAGGCATGAAAATGCCAATAGGGTTGCAGGAAGGCTGGTATGGCTGCAGCCTGGGGCCCTGGAGGCATCAGGAGACAAGTTGGGAGATATGGACAGGGAACAGGCCTGGTGCAGCAGCTTTCAGTCCCACCACCTGCAACTTGAGGGGTCTTCGTACAAAGTGATGCCCATTCTTGTTCTCCTGCTTCAAATCTCTCACGGTCCCCATGGCCTAGGAGTCAAAGCCCACACTTCAAAATCAGCATTCAAGACCCTTCCTAATCTCACCACTGCCTACCTCTCGCAACTTGTCTCTCAACGCCCCACGTGGCGAGGAAAAAGCAGGGGTTTCTTCCAAGCCCTCGCCAGTTTCTGTGCTGGGCCGAGCTCCACGTGAGCCTAAAGTTAGCCTGACCTTCCAGTTGGGTTGAGAGTTTCAGGACATACTGGGTCCCCAACACCTTCTCTATGACAGGAGTTTCTGAACCCAGTAAATGGGACCTTGGCATGGGCGAGGAAGTCCGTAGCATCTCTTTAATCCTGGTCCTCTGTGTCCCCTGTGGTGGTATTGGCTGGAGGTGGGAGGTGACCTACGAAGGTGGCCGGAGAACCCTGAGTCTCTGGTTGGGATTAACCAAAATTTGTTAATTCCACCTGCTCAGCTGAGCACCCTCCTCTCTACGCCCAGTGCAAGGGGCCTGGGAGAAAGCCCTGCATTTTCCTTTCCACGTGGGGTCCTGAGGTTTGGGGCAAAGGCTGGGGCTGTGGGTGGGGAGGGTGAATGAAGGTGCTGGAACTTGAAGCTGTTAGATGTTAGGGTCTCGGAAATACAGGGTGGGCCCAGCTCATGCGTTGTGGGTCATATCCAATCCCCTCAAGGGGAGCCTGAGACCACAGCTACTGGCTTCAAGGCAGAACCCCCAGCCTCATCCGGGGTCAGAAAACTATGGCAGGTGGAGCTGAGGGAGATGAAGCAGTGTGCTGGGGGAGAGGGAGTCCCTTCGAGGAGCAGTGGCCTCAGAGGCATCTAAAATGCAACAGGCTGGATTCGGTGAGACAGGAGGAAGAACTTCCTGCCTGAAAATTACCAAGCTTTGGGAGCCACCGTGGATG